CAAATTTCTTTCAATTAAATCCCTAAAATAATTTTTACCCACTTTTTATTATATTATTATATATTTCTATTTAATATAAATTAAAATAATTTAAAATAAATTAAATTCGATTAACACTTAATTATATTTATTTAAAATTAATTAAAAATAATTCAGTAAAATAATAATAATAATAAATAAATAAAAATTTTTGGGTGTTACAAAAAATGAGAGAAAGTAGTTGAACGAAATGTAATAACCTACTGATTTTCATGAATAACATAAACTTATTTTCCTATTAATAGTGCATTTGAATTTTTGAGTTAGAATGAAAGATATGATTCAAGAAAAAAGAACAAAACAAGAAATATTATAAGGGCACCAACAAGAAGAGAAATATATGAAGACCAAGAATAAGTTCATTTTAGATTTGTTTATTTCTATGTAATAAGAGAACTCATGATTAAAAGTTAAAGAAGAGTTTATTTTTTAAAAAAAATTTAAAAGTAATATTAATTTTAAAGTTAACTTTTCAATATTTTTAAATAAAAATATTAGGTTTGTAAATGTAATTCTTAAAATTATTTTTAAAATGAGATTTATAAATCGGAAAAATTTTAAAAGTAAAAAGTTTCATACAAAATTTATTTATATGTTAGTAGATGTTATTCGAAAATTACTTCTGTATATTCAAAAAATATTATCTTAAGTAGTTAATTTAACCTGACAATTGATTCAATAGAACATTATTCATAGTGTACAAAAAAGTACACTTTTAACTTTACGTGTGATTTTTCATGGGTTTATTTTATATTTTAATATGAATCACGCAGATTTTTCAAATTAAAATATTTTAAAAAAATGTTAAATATATTTTTTTTTAAAATTATTTTCATAATTTTCAATCAAAATAGTGTGTTCTATCATAAAAATAGTATTAGATAAAAGAGCTTCTTAAAGTTGATTGTCATTTTAGGGTTAAACTGTCAATATTTTAGGATATATCATGTAGAATTTTCTGTACATTATGAATAAAATTCAACAACAGCTTTTTGGATGTCAAATCGATTTTAAATTACGAAATAATTATTTCGACATTCCTACATATAACTATATACCTTCAACAGATTTCGAAGTAAAAAAACTTTGGACAAAAACATAAAATTTTTTTTTTAAAAAAATCATCCTCTTAAGCCTTTATTGAGTCACAAAATAAGTTTTTCGTTTGTAAATCTACTCTTTAAGAGATAAATTTATAAATTCTTCATCTTTCTTTTCTAAAATATTGTAAGAAAGATTTGTGAAAATATTTGAAAAGTTTCATGTCAAACGAACATAAGTAAAAGATGAGCTTGACACCTTGATATATAATCTATAATATTTGATGAAACATGGGTAAAAGATGAGTTTGACATCTTGATATAGAAGTCATAATGTTTGGTGGAATACAAGTTAAAGGTGTTGACACATTGATAAATAAGTTGTACCATTCGAGGGAACATGAGTAATAAGTGAGTTGGTCATATTGATAAAGAGACTGTAGTATACGAAAAAACATAAGTAATTAATGAGTTATATACCATGAACAACTAGTTTGTTATAATATTTTGAAAAACTTAGCAGAAACTTAAATAGTTGACTTCAAAATGAGAGCCGATGCATAAATAGAGTGATTGAATCTCTACAAAAAAAATTACACTCTGCTCTTTTTTTACTTCAGTTGTTGTTTATCATTATTCAATATCACGCTTCTACTCAATCACATATTTAAACTTAAAAAACTAATCTCAAACACTTTCAATTCTCGTAATTTGTGCATATCATGATTATTATTTATGATAATTTAATTAATAAATATAGAATTTAGTAACATTCAAAGAATCTTATACACATTAAAGAATAAAGACGATCATATAAGTAAATTTGTTTATCATAATTCAAGCATCATATAAGAGAGAAAGTTGGAAAGTATATTATTTTTTTTTAAATTATCCTAAACGTCGGACCAATAAAAATTTTAAATAAAGAGAAGAAAAAAATAAAAAATAATTAATTTTTAAAAATAAAAATCATATTCTATTATTATATGTAAAGCCTACATCAATGTATGAGAAGTAAAAAATTAAACCATATGATACTAAAAAAGAGGAACTTCTATGGGTAGTCTTCAAAATACGGAAATGAAGAAACAAATATTATAGAGAGTAATTTAAATAAATATACTTATCCTTCAGTTTAGTTATTGACAAAAAGGAAATGACAGTCGGATCGGGTCAGTACCCGTAAAAGGTCCGATTTCTAACCACCTCCCGTGATAAACAGGGAATTAGTTATCTTCAGTCTTCACCATTTACTCTTAAACTTTTCCTACCTGATTCGGATCTACAGTCTTCACCTTTTACCTCTTCGTTCATTGAAGGTAAGCTTCTTTAGGAATTCATTCATTTACTTTTATCACATCGCTTAATCGCTGTATAAAACTTTACTTTTTTGGTATAATCACTGTGTAGAACTTATAATTGAGAACAGTTATTTCACCCTCTTTTTAAATCTGATCTTTTTGAAGCTTTATTTTAGTCCAATCCATGTCTGGAAGATGTTTGTCGATTTTTTTTTCTTGGAATGGTCTCTATCCGAGGCGTAGAAATGTTTGATGGGTAAATTATTCGTCTTCTCGGTGTTGTTTGAGTTGTAAAACATTGGTAATTATGCTTTTTTTGGGTAAATTTCTATTTGGTTGCTGGGAAAACGACCAAGAAAGAGAGAAAGGACTCTCTGCGCCCGAAAAGAAATTAGCAAAAACGGATACCCTATATTCTCTCTTTTTGGTTGCTAGGAAAGGGAGGAAACAGTCCAGGGAGATTGAATTATCGGTATTCTTTCTAGTCTTCTTTTTTTTGGAAAAATTTATTCTCTAGCAAAGGTTCAAGAAAGATTTAAAATCACACGCTTAACTGGACCTAATGATGGTTTTATCTGCATGATTTTGGTTTGAACATGATTGTTTTGGTAATTGAGTTGGGTTTTGTACCTTTTGATTTGCAGGGAATATAAATTTTGATATCCAATGGCAGGAGTAGGGGATGATGATACCTCCACAGTGGCACCTTTTGCCCAATGGAAAAATGATTGCTCCAGGACATTCCAGTACTATTTGGATCGATCAACCCCTCACCCTATGAGGAGGTGGTTAGGGACACTTGCTGCTGCTGCAATTTATGTGCTGCGGGTTTACTGCGTTCAAGGGTTCTATGTTGTGACATATGGCCTAGGAATTTACATCTTGAATCTCTTGATTGGGTTTCTGTCACCAAAGGTTGATCCAGAGCTTGAATTATTGGATGGGGCTTCATTGCCAACTAAAGGCTCGGATGAGTTTAAGCCGTTCATTCGCAGACTTCCTGAGTTCAAATTCTGGTAATATGAATTTCTATTAGTCATTTTTTTTTTAATATAATTCTATCAGTCATTTTTGCTTCTTTTATCGCATTGAAGGTTCCCTTCTCATGGTTTATTTTTAGTTGTCTGGCTAGTTGTTTAATGATTATAAAATTAGTTGAGTTCAGATGTAATCGTCACGCTATAAAACCAAAGGAGGAACTTATTTCTGCTTGAACCGGTTTTAGTATTATCTAACCGGCTTAATCCAGTTATTGATTTTTTTATCCCTCGGAATAATACGTGTTTTCTTGTTATAAAGAAGGCTGTTTCCCATTTAGATATTGCAGAAGCTTTAATTCTTAGATATTATATCTAATCTGGTTTCTATCTGTAACATCTCCTTATTTACTTTGCTCCTTAACAATCCTTGTCTGTTTGAACTTTTAGTACTGAGGCTGGCTGCTGGACTAATGAACTTCCTGTTAAGAGGGCCTCTACTTAAAAATTAAAGAGCAAGCCACAAGGATTTCATGAAATAAAATTTTGAATTGAATCATCATGACTAAGACAAATTTATTTACTATTCATTAAAATTTGTGAATGCTGCATTGAGGAACTGCTGTCTGATGGATGTGCTGAGGGCCTCAGTCTTGGTAATAAGCTGCAGCTAGGTTTTCATAGAACAAGGCAATCATGTAATATCCAGTGATTTCTTTGTTCATGTAGTTGGTAGATAGATATGTTACCTTGAACTGTGTTTCTCAAAATTAAAAATATAGGCTTGCTAACTATTTATTCTACACAGACGTTGTATGTCCTTGACCTCTGACTATGTCTTGGGTTAGAAGTTCTCTAGTTACTCCACAATTTTTATCTCATTGAAAATTGAGTTAGGATTAGCTTTTTATAATGGGAAATTGTATTATAATCTTCTCTCCTAGTTGGCTTCTTGTGGAAATTTTCACTGTAGGTTATAGAACCATTCTGAAATCAATACCTCCATTAGTAGTTTTTGAGGTTCTTATAACTACCAAGTAGAGGGATCTTCATAATCTGACTTAGGGGTATATTCTAAAGCAGTTGTTGTCTTTCTAATTCATTGGAAACATTAGGCTTGATATGGTGCATGGAAATGTTTTCTAGTTTTTATTTCTAAAATTCATATGTATTTGAACATAAAATAATCGTTATAGTTTGTTTATGGTGGTATCAATTGTAAATAAAAACAGTTTTCTGGAAAACCACAACATTTTTTTAATTCTTTTCAAGTTCAGGCAGTATTTTCATATTATTTTCTAAATAAAGAATACAACATTTTTTTTGCTCTTTTCAAATTCATGCCATATTTTCATATCAGTTCCAAATTATAATTTTATTTTCAATTACCACCTATGTTTTTATCTAGAAACTTGTTTGATTTTGGGAAGTGAAACTTGAGAAGTACTCCCATGGACCAAACCCTTTCTGTGAAAACAATAATTTCATACCGTCAGATGAATACACCATGTTAACAAAGCTGTTGTGGTCAGCTTGAGATAACCTCTGTTGTTGGCTTGAGAAAAAGCCATTACAACCTATGTTGATGAAGCCTGTGCAATGTCTATTAACTATTACAGACTTTGTGGCATAAGGTGGTGTATGTCAACAAAAACAAAACTGATGACGATAATTTAGCAACTGTGATATTCGTAATAAAAGTTTGCTTGTGATTAGTTGGAAGTAGCATGTACCCAAGTGATGCTACAAGGATACCTTTGGGCTTGAAGCCCAAGAAATTAGGAGACAAGCCATAGCACTATCCAGAGGATTAAGATAGAGTTGCCATCTGGATAGTAGCCGGGACAAAAAGATGAGGGTTCAACTCAGTCCTTTGGAAGGAACCCAACTATCATCCCCGATGATGAGGTCGGCAGTTTGTAAGAACTGAGGAAGGTGCTGGATATTATGGTCAGGCTCCTACTTAGAGTTTTGGTTTAATTATGTTAAGTCTGTTAGACTTGATCTTTCTATTTTATACCTTTATCAAATAGTTTAGAGCAGGAAAAAGGCATACAACAATATATTTGCAAAAAAAAAAAATTACAATGATAATTATATCCTAAAATTAAGATGCTATTTAGTGGTTGGAGTAAAGTAAAATAAAGAGCCTGTTAAAGGAAACAATAAAGAATAATAATAATCACAAAAATTATAAGGATAGAATAGCTTAATTGAAATAACAAATCTGATAAAGAGAAAGAAGTAAAAATAATAATACAGAAGAGATATATATTTCAAAAAGATTGTACATAATAGATATAAATGATAAAGAGTGGTTTGGAATTGGATCCAGGAAAGAATATGGCTATAAATGAGTCATTTCAAACTCTAAGGAGACCTTTCGAAGGTATCGTGATTTTGTACTAACTCAAACATATTTGTTTTACTGCATTTTGTCCTCTTTCTTTTTTCTTACTCCAGAATACCTTACCCTCCTTTCATTTTTTCTGTTGAAAATTGAGTGATTATAGTTATATTGTTATATCAGAAATATTTGCTTCCTAATTAGAAGATATGGCACCAAGGTTGACTAAATCTTTTTGGTTTGGTTTGCCATTTATTCTAAAAAATTCTTTCACTTATTAGGAAGATTTTTACAAAAATCTCTTTAATTTGGTCTGCTATTCATTCTTGAAATCCTCTTATTAATTAGGAAAATTCTCACCAAATCTCTTTGATTTGGTTTGCTATTTGTTTTGGAAAATCCTCTCACTAATTAGGATTTTTTTTTGTGTAGATATGATTACTTTTGTATTATAAATATAATCCTTGCATTATTATCAAAGACAATAAAAATAGAGAATTTTCATTCTTCATGGTACCATAGCAATTCTTAAAAACCAAAAACTTTTTCCTCCTTGTTCAATGGTGTCAATCATCTATATTATTTTGTCCCCATCTGTTACCACCTCTAATGGAGAATCTGAGTCCAGTGCCTTATCATTACTGGACAGAAATTGAACAGTCATAACTATTTCCAATGCAATTTCAATTACGATTTTCATTTCTGGTCGAGAAAAAGATGATTGCATCATTGGTGCAATCACTGAACCAATATCTGATTATCCACACTAGAAGATGTAGAAAACTGAAAATAACTTAGTTATGTCATGACTTATAAATTCCATGAGGAATGATGTTGGGAAGAATTTTAATATACCATACATTGAGAGCTATGAGCAGTTGGATGAATCATTTGCTAATTTCTATAACAGATTCTTGCTGGTTCTTAAAGAATTTATGTTTTATTCCATTTGTGATTTAGGTACTCCATCACCAAGGCTTTCTGTGTGGCATTCTTGATGACCTTCTTTTCAGTGTTTGATGTACCTGTTTTCTGGCCTATATTACTGTGTTATTGGATTGTTCTGTTTGTCCTCACAATGAAGCGCCAAATTATGCACATGATTAAGTACAAATATGTTCCACTCAGCATTGGAAAGCAGGTGAGAACCCAGAAACCCTTTCTGGTACCATCACAGACACACACACACACACACACATCATCCATAATCACATATACGTGCATGTGTGTGTCTCTAAGCAATAAGTAGCTCAAGGACCTTCCATCTTTTTTAGTTTTGGTCTTTGAAATGTATTTCCCTCTTTTTATGTTGACAGAAGTACACGGGGAAGAGACCTGCCACCAGTACCAGTGGCTCCAGAGACTGAAGGTGGTTCACATCCCTCTCCAGGAAGAGGTGGGTGGACAAATCATGGTTCCAACCCTTCTGCTCAAAATTTCTTCATGTGGAAGACACGTTATATGCAACACACAAGTGCAGAATTCACATATGTTGGAGATACCATTCTGTCTTAGTTTCGTTAAAAACTGTTTTAACTGTGTGAATTTGCATTGTTACAGGTCTGTTGCCTTTACAATTCCTGTAACTTGTGTTTTGAGCTGTTAATGTGTCTGAATTAAAGGAGCAATCTCTTCCTAATAATTTTTAGTCCTACTATCAGTTTCTGGTCGGACTCACATCTTTCTACCTACCCAATCACTCCTGGGATCTGCTTTATCGGAGTGCCACATTTTTTTTTCTTTTTAAATGCTCTTGATAGTGAGTTGCTTACCACTTAGCATACAATATCTCCTATTACTTTTTTTTTTTTTTTTAATTTTTCCTGAGTGAAGAAGATTCTGAGAAGGGTGGGATGATGTCACAGTAGAGTTTGAGAAACTGTGGGAACTGTCCTGCTTGGCCGTTGGATCAGTGGATGACAAAGGCTGCAGATAAAGTCTTTTAACTCCATTAAGTATATATTAATTTTGCCTTGCTGCAGTTTTAAACTGAAAATGGAATTAGAAATATCATTGATGGCCTGCTGCAGCCTATATCAAACATAGGCAATTGACTTGGATATGAGATGCCAGATGTATCTATCTAATCATACACCTACCCAGTACAACAACTCACCAACAACTGAAAACAAAATTCTCCAACGTTTGTTTTTGATTCTTGACTTGGTTTAGATAAGTAAAAAATAATCCCAATTGGGAATTTGGCTTGTTTGTTTTTTATTTTTGATAATGAAAATGCCCTTAAACATGGCCAGCTAAGCCGTTGAATCTCTCAGGGTTTATCTCTAATCCCCGTTTGCTTCTTTCTCCAGCCATCTAAATTCCCCAAAAGCATTTTGTGGAACTTTCAGATTTTCTTCCAAGCAAATGAGAGGCAGAGTCTTTGTTATGATATTTTTCTTTTGGGCTATCCTCACCGTCATCACCCCTACACTTCTTCTCTGGTCAGAGTCCACCAATCCTAGCTTGGAGGTAAATGGTAAGACTTTAAGAGATGAAATGAAAATTAATCTGTTTTCTTTTCGATTAATCATTGAGATTTTTTTTTCCAAAAACTTTAATTTTACAGGGGAGAAAAGCAGCATAGTAAATGCAAGGAGAATAATGGGATATGTAGAGAAGCATATGAGAAAAACAGTATATTTTAGGAGGGCCATGGAGGAGGTGGCGGCAGCCCCAGTCCCTACACCAACACCAACACCAACACCAACACCAGCACCAGCACCAAAATCAAGTGCTGCTCTTATCGATACAACAAACTAACAGTTTCTTAATCCAGCGATGAAATGTGTTCATCAACTTTTACAAGAGGTTATAAAATTATGTCGATACTTTCGAATATTATAGGCAACACACAGAGAAATTTTTTTTTTTTTTTGGGAGAATCTTTAGAACCATTACTATTTAGTTTTCAATTTCTCGTTACTACCGAATGAAATGTTAATAATAACTCTCTTTATTTCTCTCTGAAAGAGGGATACTTCTGGTTTTATCAGTTACACAGAGAGAATTTTGTATAATGCATATGTACATGTAATTTTAAAATGAATTTAATTTCTTTTTTTATTTTTTGGAGGTTTATTGAGGACCAATGTAGGAAGCAATGATAAAGAAAGCAAATGAGAAGGAAACTGCCTAGTAGTAAGCTTACAGATTTTAAAAGTAACAATAGAAGCTTTTTGATTTCTAGCTGGTGATGCTAAAATCATTTGAACCAAATTTTGATGAAACATTGGAATGATTAGTAGCTGAACCCAATTTTGATTTCTTAGTTAATTTCAACATTAATGATTTTCCTAACAAGTAAGAACAAGTTTATTCTGCTATTTTGTATTAACAAATTTGTTTCAATTTTTAATAATTTTTGTGCGATTTAATTTCTAAATTTTTTGGGATTAATTTTGCTGAATGTGGTGAATAATCGTTCAATAATATAAATTATGTTTTTAATTAAAAACGAAATAGAAATGAAATAATATAGTAAAAAAAGACCAAGTTTATTTGAAAATATTTACATTCAGAAAATTTATGATGCAAGCTTCTCTAACCTTCACCTTATGCTCCACTAACTGTTCTTTTTCTTTCTCCAATTGAGCAGACTGGTATAAGTAAAAATACCAAGAACAGCTTTCACTTAAATTTCATTCTTTAACACAAATTTAAGACTAAATTTTTATTTTTTTCTTTGAATAAATGAATTATCAAACTAAAAACTAACCTGCATGTTCTAACTAAAAACTAATCTGGGGTTAATTCAACTGATTAATGTCCAATTTTAAGGGTACTGCAATGCCACAAACCAAACCATTGATTGTGAATTGAAATCATACTAAACCAACCACTAGGGCCAAATTGTAATTTTATTTTCCCGAAATCCATATTTATAGATCAATAAATGTAAGTAGTTCCCGAATACAAGCTATGGAAAGCATCAAATTGTAATTTTAACCTTATTGAAATCCATCTTTATAAATCTATAAATGCAAAATAGTTTCCATACACAAGGTATAGAAAAAGAGCATCTGTACAATGCAAATAACACTACTTATGCAGGCACGGCAAAGCTCTTCTGAGACCACTGGGGAGGATCTACTACTAGACATGGATCAGATTTCTCAAAATCAGCAACCTGAATCAAAACCAGCATACCACAATTAGACTTCCACGATAAGGAAGACAAACAACTAAACCCTTTAGCTACCTCGGAAAGGTCCAAAATGAATAGGCTGGAATAGGATGGTATAGTTAACATGTATACATTTACAAAACACACAGAAGTACTCACCTTTTGTGCGCAGCTTGGGCAATAATGATACTTGTGCCAAAGACAGTCCATTGAAGGGCAAAGAAAGCATATCCCAAGCATCATAGGCATCATACATCCAACAACAGCAGCTATACTTGGCTTTGATCTGGGTTACTCATCAGAAGTCATTATCCAGTGAAAAAGAAGAAAATGATTTTGAGAACTCAAAAAAAAGCTATACAGTCCATTGAAGGGCAAAGAAAGCATATCCCAAGCATCATAGGCATCATACATCCAACAACAGCAGCTATACTTGCCTTGATCTGGGTTACTCATCAAAAGTCATTATCCAGGGAAAAAGAATAAAATGATTTTGAGAACTCAAAAAAAAAAAAAAAAAAGTTGAGCACCGCTATTTCTGTGCCCTAAGACTATCTCGGAACAAATCTAGAAATTTGTAAAATTCATTTTGAAATCCACACATACTTCAACTTGAATATATGGAAAGTCCTTCCTAAGCTTATGTTCAAAATTTAGATATTAAGGAACTGAATTCATTTTTGTGTTATTTTTCAACTCTTAAACAGGCTAAACTGGGAGTCTTAATCATTGTCTTCATATCATCATATACGATATAACCTTTATCCTACATGGACGATGAATTTGATTCAAAACTCAATTCTATGACATACTTATGAAACTGTAATACACATGACATAAAGTTTGAATCAAATAACATTCCGATACTAAGTTCATTTCTTGTCCAATTCAAGTTAGTGCTTTTGTAAGTCCCTTGCTTGATAATGCGAATACAACACATTACTGTTAAT